TTGGTTCTACAAGGTCTGAATATAACATAGAAGCAAGAAAGTGATGGGAAGGAAGTGTACAGAACAGTGATTGTGTTTTGTTAAATTATATCCAGTCCTCTTACAACTTATGATTTATGCACCACTGAGAATCACTGTTGTGCTGACCTGCTGTTATTAATGGAAAGGTACTATCCCTTATGTGTGCTAAGATGAAGAAATAGATGAAAGCTACTGGTTAAAAAAGGACTGCAGGGCTGGGGTTGTGGCTCAGCGGTAGAGTGCCCGCCTAGCATGTGTGAAGCCCTTGGTTCAATCCTCAGCACCACATAAAAATAAATAAATAAAGATATTGTGTCCATATACAACTAAATATGTATATTTAAAAAAAAAAAAAAAAAGGGAATCCAGTATATAGAAACTACCGGCAGAAGAATAGTGCCAGTTGCATGTCCAGAGGGTACTGATTAGGGGGGAAAGAGGCTGTATGTTTTTGAATATATTTAAAATTTGTTTTATATTAATGGTGATACATCTAGAGAAAAATGTCCAGGAGGCATATGAACTGATCTCAGAAGGGAAATTGGGGTTGGAGATAATATTCAGTAGTCATCTCTGTAGAGGTGAAAGCTTAAAATTGAGAAATAACTTTGGGATATATAAACACTGAGGAGGCAAGAGTAAGATTCATACTGAGAAGATAGGAAAACAACCAAGATAGCATGATGTCTTTGAAGTAAAAGGTGGCACAAAGAGAAAGTAAGCAGCATTGATTCACCAGAGGGGCAGTTCAAAAGAATGGAACTTTAAAAAGGCCCCTGATGCCATTTAGATTGCAGATTCAAAATACAAAATGGAGATTTCTCTTGGCAGAGCTCTTCACATCAGTTTCAGGGGTAGGGTAAGAGGGGTAGGGGTGGGAATTTGGATCTGGAGGGACAAGCAGAATTGAGCAGAAAGACAAGTTGGGCTATAATGCAATCCCCAAAGTCCTTGCCAATCTTGGATGATGCTCTGAAGGTAGAATATCCCCCGTTGGGGTGCGGGACTGGGTCTTTGTACCCCTGCATCAACCAGTCATCGAATATAGCCTCCCCACCAGGAAGAGGGCATTCACAAAAAGTAAGCAAAATGGCTCTCTCTCTTTCTCTCTCTCTGCAGCCCAGGGTAATTTCCAGAGAGGTCTGCCAGCTCAGGCTGGTAGACAGCAGCATTATCAGCACTTGTAAAAGACAAAGCTAGAGGGTAAAGTGCAGTATCTAGTACATCCATTAAATTTTGAGCTTAGAAAGTCATGAATGAATTTTGTGAAAATTATTGAATTGGTAACCACATCTTCACCAAGTTTGAAAAATGTATTGGAGAAAGCTAACAGCAACTTTTAAGGAAGGAAGGGAAAGAACTATTGTATTTGCAGAGCTGTTGGAGCATCTGATCAGTAAATTATTGTACCTGACTCTGAGGAAAGAGGTTATAACCAAAAATGTTATGACATAGCCAGGCGTGGTGGCACATACCTGTGATCCCAGCTACTCAGGAGGCTTTTGAGGCAGCAGAATCACAAGTTTGAGGCCAGCCAGGCAACTTAGCAAGTCTGTCTCAAAATAAAAAAGTTTTTTAAGAAGGCTGGGGATGTAACTTAGTGGTAGACTATCCCTGGGTTCAATCCCCAGTGCTACACACATCACAAAAAGTAGTTATGACACAAACTGATGAGTCTATTATGTAGTAGTATATGATATATAATTGAAAGTATATTGTTGTTATCCAGCATATATTTCAGTTTTCTGTTGCTGTGTAAAGAACTGTCCCCCAAATTTAATGGCTTAAAATGACCATGTATTTGCTCACATTCTGCCTCATGAGCTAGGTTTACCTGGGTGTTTCTTCTGCTGGTCTTGCATGGGGTTACTCCTTTAGCTCCCATCATCTAAGATTTCACTGAAGCTGGATGTCCAAATGCCTCTCTTCAAGATATCTAGCACTTGTTTGGTGAGGACATCACAGCAGGAGAATCCCAAGCTTCTTATGTGGCACAGGGTTCCATGAGAGTGAATCTCAGTGCACAGGTACATATTAGGCTCCTGCATGAATTGAGCTTATAACTATTTTTTTTAAATATTTTTATTTTTAGTTATAGGTGGACATAATATCTCTATTTTATTTTTATGTGGTACTGAGGATGGAACCCAGTGCCTCATGCATGATAGACAAGCGCTCTACCTCTGAGCCACAACCCCAGCATAGAGCTTATAACTGTTTTATTGGGCAGATCAAATATGGGGTAGAACCATTAATAGAGCACAACTACTGGGAGGTGTGATCCATTGGGGACCATTATTGTAACACTCTGCCACTACCTGCACTTTTCTTTTCATAAGCCTCATGTACTTCCCCCTTTCAAGACACATCAGAGTTTCATCTATTTCACCATATCAGGCTCAAAGGAAGGATCTGCGGCAGGTCTGGGTAGATAGGGCTTTCTCGGGCACAGTTCCTCTTGCCTGTGAAAGATCTTGAGCCAAAGATCTGTGGATGAAGACCCATTGTTTTCCCCTTTATATTTAACATAATACAAGGTCAGATAAAAGTAGGATTACTATAATAGATGCTCATATTCAGAAAGGAGAGGAATAGGGCACATGGCAGTCAGTGGTCCTTAGTAATTCTGAAACCCAGCTAAGCACACATGATCAACATCCCATAGACTGGAAAGAAGGCATGTTCCTTGATCAGAACCCCACTCTGCTGCTTGGGAGCAGTTTGTTAGTCTATTGTCCACTATAGCTAGTAGTTCTGTCCTCTGGGAGTATCATCCTTTTACAGAAGAAATAGCCTATATTTCAGCTGGTGAACTTTCTCAATCTTGCTTTCTACCCAGAGAAATTTGTGGCCCACGGGCCTACTTTTATTTTGTACTGGATCTGTTCCTTTACTTCAAGTTAGTAACTCTTTTGTCATTCTGACTCTCTTAAAAACGTGGAGGATTTTCTATAAGTCTCATTGAAGTTAATTTCATGACCTAAAAGCCACATGCATAATTCCTTTCAAAACAAAACCCTTTTTGCTTAGGTGTACAAGCTGTCGAATAGAGCCCTGAGGTCATAGAAGCCTTTTTTTCTACCTGAGAAAGTATGCAAGACAGTTACCTTAAATCTTTCTGAGATGTTTACAGAAAGTGTTACAACCATGCCCTTGAGTTGATCGTACCCTGCATCCATTTCCTATTTTGAGAATTTTTTGCCACCAAGAGAGACATGAAATAATTTTATTTTCCAACTCAGAAAATCTTGCTTCTTTTGTATTTCCTCTAAATTCTGACTACAAACTGAATGATTCTGTCTTTAGCTTGTCTCTCTCTTCCTCTGCCTTGTCACCCCCAGTTAAAAATAAGTTCATTGGCAATTTCAATATCCTGCTAGAAATCTCCTATAAGTATCAGTTTTGTCAGTTGTTTCACAACTACCAACATGACTTGCCCTTTACACAGCCTGTGATAACAGTTTCTTCCTGACTTTCCAGGTTCCAGTCCCAGTTCACTTATCTCTCCAGTCCCCAACAGCAGCCCTTCACATCTTTTCTAAATTCTTCCTGCTGCCTAGTACAAAAGACAGTGTTGTGTGTTTTAGTTTTTATGACAGCAGCACCTACTTGTAGGAAACAGTTTAAATGAGTCAAAGTCCACCCAAAATCTTGTACATGAATGTTCACAACAGCATTATCCATAATAAACAAAAGGTAGGTAGAAGCAACCCAAGAATCTATCAGCAGCGAAGGGATAAACAAAATGGTATATCCACATGATGAAATGTTAGTCAAATGTTAAAAAAAAACACAGATTACTGATATGTACTATAAGAACTTTAAAAATAGGCTGAGTGAAATAAGCCAGACACAAAAGGCCACATGTCACATGATTCCATTTATATGGAATATCCAGAATAGGCACAAAGATAGAAAACGGATTAATGGTTACTAAGAGTTACGGAGGTAGGAAAAATGGAAAGAGACTACTGATGGGTATAGGGTTTCTTTGGAGGGTAATCAAATATTCTGTAAGTAGACGCTAGTGATAGCAGCACAACTTTGTGAATGTACTAAATGCCACTTACTTGGACATTTTAATGATGTGGTTAATTTCATGATATATAAATTCTATCTCAGTTTTTAAAAAGTTTAATGGGGGACAGTCATTGTAGTTTTATGAGAAAAGAGGTATGGACACTAGATCTTCCATAGTTGTTCAGGAGCCTTGATGGTAAGGTACAGAGGAGGGCTGGGATCTGAGGAGGAATCACTATCAATTGGTAAGTAGCAATGACACTCAGCTGCCACAGCAGGACCTGGAGACCATCATGGGGAATATCTGTTGGAAGCTGTGGCTTCTGCACAGCTGCCTCCTAGGGGTCTGCAGTGAAGCCCTGCCACATAGCAGGGAGAACACACTTGGAAAGAAGAGTTTGATATGGAGTGGAGGTCGGCGAGGATAGGCTGGCACTTATGGGCATTGGTCCTGCGCCTAGTGACAAGAAAACAGAGTGCAGTGCGAAGGCCACTAGCTGTGTTAGTTCTGTATTCCAGATGCCATACAAGTTCCTCTTGTAGCCATATCTAGGCAAGAGTCAGAGAAGAGCCTGACCTGGCACAGGCTACCACAATACTTAAAAACAGATTCTGCCAGGCCCAGTGCATGCCTATAATCCCAGCTACTCAGGAGGCTAAGGCAGAAGAATCAAGAATCTGAGGGTAGTCTAGATAATTTAATGAGACTCTGTCTCAAAATAAAATTTAAAAAAGGACTGGAGATGTAACTCAAAGGTAGAACACTCAGGCTGGGGTTATAGCTCAGTCATGGAGCGCTTACCTAGCAGGTGTGAGGCACTGGGTTTGATCTCAGTACCACATAAAAATAAATGAAATAAAGGTATGGTGTCCATCTACAACTAAAAAATATTAAAAAAAAAAAAAAAAAGAACACTCCTGGGTTTGATCCCTGGAACTGCAAAAAGAGATAGATTCTTATGGCTCATGTGAGTGATGGCAAGGTCATGATTAAGCATTTGGCAGTGAAGAAGGAGAGAAATAAGAGATTGCTAAAAGTACAGAGGCCGTCTGGGCGGCGGGAGGGCCCCGCGGCGGGCCAGGCCGGGCGCTGCCACGGAGGAGAGCGGGCCAGGAGGCCCCTCCGGGTGTGGGGCCCCGGACCTGTGCTCGCCGGACAGCGAGGAGCCCGTGGGCGGTCGGGCGGAGGAGCGTGGCCCGGCGACGGAGCAGCCCGCACGGCCAGGCGTTGGCTGCAAAGTCCGCAGACAATTTATGAAAACCGAATATACAGCCTTAAAATAGAATGTGAACCTAAATACCCAGAAGCATCCCCCTTTGTAAGATTTGTAACAAAAATTAATATGAGTGGAGTTAATAGTTCTAATGGAGTGGTGGACCCAAGAGCCATATCAGTGCTAGCAAAGTGGCAGAATTCATATAGCATCAAAGTTGTTCTGCAAGAGCTGCGGTGCTTAATGATGTCTAAAGAAAATATGAAACTCCCCCAGCCTCCGGAAGGACAGTGTTACAGCAATTAATCAAAAGCAACGCCACCAGCCCTCCCCCCATTCGATTTAAGCAGTCTTCATTCTCCACCGTAGTAAATTTTCTAGATGCGTCTTGTAGACCTCAAAGTACTGGAAAGGAAGCTCCCATTCGAAGGCAATTTATCTTAAGATACTGTAAATGATACTAATTTCTTGTCCATTTGAAATATATAAGTCGTGCTATAACAAATCATCCTGTCAAGTGTGACCACTGTCCATGTAGTTGAACTTCTGGGATCAAGAGAGTCTATTTAAATTGATTCCCATCCTGACTGGTGGGGCACGTCTAACTCAACTGTGAAAAGACACGTCACACAGTCACCTTGCTGCTGATTATTCGGCCTGGGGGCTCTGCCTTACCCCCCTGCCCTGCCAGCCCTGGGGCAGCCCTGGGACAGCCCTCCAGCAGAGGCTTGCTAGAGTAGAGCAAAGGTTTCAGGTCACACCCTGGGGACTGCTGCTGGGTGTGGGGTGCTTTGCCTGCACCCTGGTTACTTTCTTAAGTCTTAAAGGACGCCCCTTCCAAGCCATCATCCTGCCCCACTCTCCTCCACTCCCGTCCTTGGCCGAAGCATAGATTGTAACCCTCCGCCCCCCTTGAAATTGGCCTTCGCGAAGAATTCAGGGCTTTCCCCCTCCCCCACCTTGATCGAGGGGTGCTGCTTTTTCCCTCCTCCTCAACTCCCTTGTCCACCTTCACCACCCGGCACTCTCCACCTCCCACCCCTGGCTTGGCCAGAAGCCATCAGGTCAGGTTGGAAATCTCTGACCTCCTCCTCCACATTTGGAACCACGTTTGATCACTTTCCACCAGCCCGGGAAATGAGCTTTGGGTCCTGGGTCCTGCCACTCTGCTGTCACCCTCAGCCGATGCATCTTTGGCCCAGGTCTTTGTAAGATGGACAGGGCAGTCCCCAGGTGACATAGCCTGCCAGCCCTCAGGGTCCCTCTGTTTAGACCTGCAGGAGGCCTCGTGGAGACGCCTGTGAGCACACAGGGCCCCTCTGGACTGTTCCCTTTCCTGTAATGACGTGGCTTTCAGACGTGAAGAAGGGTGAACAGGGCTCCCTGTGGGGCGCGCCTGCCATCCCCGCGGGCCCAGTGTGGAATCTGACAACTGGAACCAGAGAAACCTGGACCCAGCGCAGATACTGGGTTTGGTGCCGCTGCCTCCCCGGTGCTCAGCAGGGACTGAGGAGGAGCTGGTGTGCACAGCAGCTCCCAGCGTTGGCGGGTCCTGGCCTCCAGCACGTTGCTGCACCTCCCACTTTTCCTGTTCAGGACCACTGTGCTGAGACCTGATGCAAACAAATAAAGGCAATTCATGGTGTTCTGAAGGGTTTATTTTTTTTTTTCTTACTATTTTGTGTAAAACCACCTTTTGAAGCAGCAACTATCAAGTCTGAAAAGCAATGGATGTTCCCATTAATCTATTTCTGGGGGAAATCTTAGTTCTAAGGATTTAACATCCTGTAAGTAAAGTTTAACCTAACAGTATTCCATAAGCAGCCTTTTTCTTGTCAGACCATTGCCTGATTTTAATATAATAAAAAGTGTGCATTAATATTTCAAAAAAATAAAAATAAATAAAAGAACAGAGGCCTTGTGGGTGATGCAGCCAGTGTGCAGGGGCAGGGAGGGCAGGGATGTCTTTCTAGCTATTTCAGTGCTTCAGGTAGGAAGGGGAGCACTGCAATAAATGAGGACATGGAATTTGGGCGTTGAACATGGTACCACCTACATATAAATAGTGTTATTCAAACCATGAGACTGGAGAAGTCAGTCATAAGACACTTGGGTGGTTGAGCTTGACAAATAAAAATCTTTTGTAGAAATAGCCTATCAAAACCAAGATATTTAAAAAATACTTGTTTCTGTTCATTGTTATCTACAATTTGAAAAACTGTTTATGATGTGTGTAATCTCAGAACAATATGAAAAGCTATTTGATGAAACTCAATTTGTATATCTTTTATACTTTATTTAGGAAAATGATTTTGCACAAGCCAGCAGCTATGCAGATTTAGCTGTGAACTCTGATAGATATAACCCATCAGCTCTTACTAATAAAGGGAATACAGTTTTTGCAAATGGTGATTATGAGAAGGCAGCTGAATTCTATAAAGAGGCTCTAAGAAATGATTCTTCTTGTACTGAAGCCCTTTATAATATTGGTAAGTGAAACAAGAAACAAGGCTGAAGTTGCTTTTTGTATTATATATATATTTTTTTGCTAACTCATTAGGAGGAGAAGTTGACTTCCTTCCAACAAAAAAATTGAAAAGACCTTGCCTCTGAGATTACAGATTATTCTGAATATGAAATTAATGATTCCAAAGCTGTGCATATATAAAATTTGGGTTGATGCTGTTACATTGCCATACAAAGAAGCTTTTTCAATTTCTGTTCTACCACAGCATATAAGACTAATTTCACAAATTCTTATTGATACTGGATAATATAATTCTTTTTAACCTTTTCCAAACAAGTAAGAATCTGATTTTCAGGGCTGGAGTTGTAACTCAATGATAGACCACTTGCCTAGCACATGTGAGGCACTGGGTTTGATCCTCAGCACCACATAAAAATAAATAAATAAAATAAAGGTACTGTGTCCATCTACAATTAAATTTTTTTTAAAAAAAGAAGTTTCAAATATACAAAAAAAGGCACACAGAAAACTTAAATACTCATAGTACCTTTCACCCCAGTTTAACACATTTTAACATTTTGCTATATTTACTTTAGATTTTGTTTTTAAGAAACAAAATATTGCAAGACATTAAGGCTCCCCGCCATCTCATTCCCTTCCCTGCTTTCAGAGGTTACCTGAAATGGGCATCATTGCTCCCTGGGCGAGTTTGCAATGTTGCAAACTAACATGTTTACATAATACTGAGTCTTGTCTCTTAGGTCATTATTGAAGTTTCTTTTAAAGTTTAATTCTGCTTGCATACATATTTTTTGCTTTTTTGAGTTTTTTTTTTTTTTTCTTTTATTATCTTTTTCCATGTTGTGACTTCTCTTTAGATATCTGATACTCTTGGGCTGTCTCTTGGTATTCAGCAGTTTGCAGCTAAAAGCTGAGTGGAAAGAGTCTGAGTTTGTGAGAGAGGCTGATGGACTGGCACTCAGTGCAGGCTGTCTGGTCTTTTAGTTGGGAATATGTCCTTTAGTCATTTGGATCTTTTTTCCCATAGGAGACTCTTCAGTCTCCTGCCTAAAAGGAGAAAGAAAGACCTGTAGCCAGCCTTGGAATAGTATCAATTTTAGATGGAGTCAGAAGAGAAAGCCTCACTGAGAAGTAACACGTCATTTTGGAAGGGACAGAGGGTGTGGCATTTGGTATCTGGAAAGATCATTTGTGACACAGGGAAGAAAAGAGCAGAGGCCTTCATGCAAGAGCTTGCTTGATTAGATAGATGCTTATTTATTCACTTAATAAATTTTTACTGTTTTCTGTACTCATTGTTGTCTTTCTCCAATGCTGGGGATCATATTCAAGGCCTGGCACATGTTGTGCAAGCACTCTGCTACTAATCCATAGCCCCAGCCCTCACTTTTCTACTTTGACTTTGTTTATAATTTCTTTTGTAAAACAGAAATTTTATTAATATAATCAATTTTCACTTCTTAAAAATGAATGTTTTTTTGGGCTGGGGTTGTGACTCAGAGGTAGAGCGCTCACGTGCGGGACCCTGGTTTTGATTCTTAGCATCACATAAAAATAAATAAGTGAAATAAAGGTATTGTGTCCAACTACAACTAAAAAATAAATATTTTTTTAAAAATGAATGTATTTGTTCATTGCTTTTTGAAGCCCTTGCTTTCCCTAAGATTATAAAATCATTTTCCTATATAGGTTGAGCATCCCTTATCCCAAATGCTTAGGACCAGAGGTGTTTGGGATTTTTTTTTTTTTTAATACTTGATATACATAATGAGAGATCTTGGGGATGGGACCAAGTCTGTGCATGAAATTCATTTTCATTTTATATCCACCTTATTCACATAACCTAAAGGAATTTTTTAATATTTATTTTTTAGTTATAGGTAGACACAATATCTTTATTTATTTATTTATTTTAATTTTATGTGGTGCTGAGGATCGAATCTAGTGTCTCACACATGGTAGGTGAGTGTTCTACCTCTGAGCCACAAACCTAGCCCCAACATGAATGAATTTTATATGATATTTTAAATGTTCCTGTGTTTTTATTCTGTCCTGTCACATGAGGTCAAGTGTAGAATTTTCCACTTGTGATATGTTGAAGCTCAAAAGATTTGGAGCATTCAGATTTTGGAGCATCTTGGATATTAGATTTTCAAATAAGGGATGCTCAATCTATATTTTCTTTTCATATTCTTACAACTTTGCTTTTTCTGTGTAGTTTCAAAATAAATTTTGAATTTTTTTAATGAAATGAGAATCTATGTATTTTTTTTCCTTCATATATAATCAGTCGTTCTGGTGTCACTTATTACTTGTTCCTTCTGTTCCACCTATTTTTTTTTTCCTTTGTGGTGCTGGGGGTTGAACCCAGTGCCTTGTGCATGCAAGACAAGCACTCTTATCAACCAAGCTATATCCCCAGCCCTCCCCACTGATTTTTAAATGCCCACTAACTAAATCCTATAGCTGAGTAAATTTCTGAACTATATATTCTTTTGATCAGTTTATCTGATGCTTTCCTCCCACCCCCACCCGTCACACTTTTAAAATTACTGAAGCTTTGTAACATGTTTGGTATCTCTGTGGAGATTCCCACCTACTATTGTTCTTTTTTTTTTTTTTTTAAAGAATTTTAATATTTATTTTTTAGTTATCGGCGGACACAACATCTTTGTATGTGGTGCTGAGGATCGAACCCGGGCAAGCGCGCTACCGCTTGAGCCACATCCCAGCCCACTACTATTGTTCTTTTTAAAAATTCTCAGTTCATCTTCATTTTCTCTCCTGAATGACTATTTACATACATTTAAAAATTCAGTCTGTACTTTGAGTGAATTTATGCTAATAATAATGGTTATAGATTTTCCTTTCTTTTTTTTAAGGCCTCACTTATAAGAAGCTAAACCGACTGGATGAGGCTTTGGATTGTTTCCTGAAGCTTCATGCAATTCTACGAAACAGTGCCCAAGTTCTTTATCAGATAGCAAATGTGTATCTTAATTTGTAAAACCTAAGGACAG